AAAGGCTTTTGAATTCGGATTTTTACCCTGGATAACCCATAATGCATCATGATTCAAGATGGCGTCGCTATTGGTGAATAAGTGAATTGCTGGCAAGTCAATATGTGCAGACAACAATCCACACTGGGTTGCTTTTGGAATTTTCTAAATCTTGTTAAGCCTGATTTAACAACATCCCGCGTTTGTTTTTAAACTATAAACATCTAGAAATGGAACGTACCGAACACTATTATAAACCCATCGCCTTTGCACATATTAAGTGACATAACAAACAAATATTAAACTAAAAGTACATTTGACTCCTTGTATCAATTAATCAATATAAAGACATTAATCCATTATATATTGACGAATAGATCAGTGCCAGTTGGGCTATTTTAAAACTGCCGATACATTCTTGAAATCATATTGTTTCAATACTTCTATCCGGGCCTATTCTAAGAAAATTTCAATACTGCACACTTCAGAGCAGGTGTCATCAATGACGTCACCCTGTGACGTCATTTTTGAATGTTATGTTTTTATATAGAACATAATGACAACATACAGGGCAGGGTCTATCATGCAGAGAAATTCGGGGGCCCGGGGCAAGTTTTTGTTTCGTGGGCTCTATTTTTCCCGAAAATGTTGGCGAGCGGGGAGTGAAAAATTTTTCCCCGACATAACACAAGGGTAAAAAAATTTTCTGATCAAACATGAGTTAACCTAAGGTTCAAAATTTTTTTCCCGGAGAAATTCCTGTTACAACATGGGTCAAACCTTTTTTGGACCAGGAACTGGTCCCCAATCGCTGCTAATCTTGTTGTTGTTGTCGTCGTCGTCGTCGTCGTCGTCGTCGTCGTCGTCGTCGTCGTCGTCGTCGTCGTGGTCGTGGTCGTCGTCGTCGTGGTCGTCGTCGTCGTCGTCGTTGTTGTTGTTGTTGTTGTTGTTGGTTGCTGTTGTTGTTGTTGTTGTTGTTGTTGTTTGTTGTTTTTGTTGTTGTTGTCGTCGTTGTCGTCGTTGTTGTTGTTGTTGTTGTTGTTGTTGTTGTTGTTGTTGTGTGATGTTGTTGTTGTTGTCGTCGTTGTCGTCGTCGTCGTCGGTTGTTAGGGGGCGACGCTCTTTGAAAAAACCCTAAGGCTCCGTCATTACTTGTCCGATCGGAATAAAACATGACATAATTATCCCCGAGCCGACGGCGCGAAGCGCCGTGCGAGGGTACTAATTCCCCCCGGCTATTTACATCCGGGGAAACGAAAGCATTAGCGAAGTCTAAAGTTCATCAAATATCGCGGGCGTGGCTCACCAACGATGTTTCGGTGGGTGGTCATCCTCACTGATCTCAAAATATGTGGCGGACTGTCATGAATAGCGAAAACTGATTGGTGCAATTTAAAGTTTGCATTATAACGACTGCATGACGACAGCGAAATAGCAAACATTTCTTGATTTGATGATTGATAAATTTCTTGCAAATATCACAAATATATTTCATTTTCGCTCGCATTTTTGCAAGATTTTGTAAATTGCAAGAAAGAAAGGGCGAAAGAATCGGCTAAAAGAAGTGAGCCGACGTTAACGAAGGTAAGTTTGTTTTAAATATTGATTTTATAATGGATTTAATTTAAAACCGACGGTCTTTGCATATATGAAACAACTAAACAAGACAGCATATTATTTCAGTGTATCTTTAGTAATATTGATTCCCTTTTTTATGATATTCAATTTTTTAAATAAAAAAGAAAGCAGAGTTATTTGCAAGCGAGAATTTGAAGTCATTTTATTGCAAACTCAAAGTTTATCGATAAAGCCATTTTAAAAGGCAGTTTAGTTTTATAAAGAACATAATAACATACCTAACATATATATGTTGGGAAATTAATAATTTTGTAATTAAAAGTGATATTTTTTAGGCGATTTTTCATTTGTAAGAATATTCTTAAAAAATTATCGTGTTACCATGACAACTACTTCAGACACTTCATGTTCGGAAAATACAATGGTTTTGTCTGTTTGTCAGCAAGGCGAGGGTTTCTGCATGCATGTATTTTCTAGTTCTAAGCAATATTCCGCATCGATTGACGGTGTTCGATTTTTCATTTTTGGCTTTAGAAGCGAAATACAAGCAATTTTTGACTGTATTTGTAGCAATTAATATATACATATATATCATTAATATTCATTAAGACTTAATTTAACACGCTGGCTTAGTTTCTCAAAGCGCAGTGGAGTAGCTACTATACTCCTATATCTGGCTATCATATAATATTCATGGTCATGCATAGCCGGCAGAAAATCGCGAACCATAAAAACAAAGACATGTCAATTTGTTTTTAGCACAAGCATGCAGTTATGAAGCCATTACCAAGCGAAATGAACTGCATTAACCTATACTACAGTGTGTATCAAAATAATTCGAATCCAAATTTGACAGACTGCTGTCTATAAAATACTAAAGTAAACCATATAATTTTTATATGGCAATAAAGAATAGCCTATTAGGTTTCCGATTATATCGTTCTTATATCAATAAGATCAAAAATGACCAAGAAATCGTGTGTTAAAACTGGTTGCTCGAAATCAAATTTTTCCGCCGATGGGAATTCGAAGTGAGACGTACAAACAAAAGATAATGCAAATTTAATTAATCAACAAAATGTTATGTAGCAAAATTTACATAAATTCGTGTTCATTTAAAGAGATTTAAGCTCCTATGCCTTCAACATGTTGAACGAGAAGAAATTCGCGTTAAATTTGCATTTTAGTTTTCAGTGATGATTAGCATTTCAAAGCCTTGTGGGACTAACTTTGAAAGAAAAAATGTCCAATTCCCATCGGCGGAAAATTGTGATTTTTATGGACTTTTTTTGTCAAAGCAATACTCCTTCATTTTCCAACTAAATGACGCGTACAGCATGTCATTTGAAAGGTAAATAAATGAACTTAACAATGGTGTAAAAACCAACCGAATTTGTCAAATATATTCTGCGTTATTACACGCCAAATTTGGATTCGAATTATTTTGATACACACTGTATAGCAACAATTCAGATAATTTGTTACCTTAACTTAAGTCTCATTTACACGGCACGTATACACGACTGTAGCTGCAATATTTTGCAATGGCACGCACGGCACGGCAAAATTTGTTATGGCAAAAGTTAAATTTAGACACGGCATGTTTAGTCTTAATATTGTGGGACATTTAACTTATCTAATTCCAATACGAGTATATGGTTACTTTTGAAAACTGCGCATTTAGTTATCTATATGCTTTGTCCAGATTTACACTCATTTATACACGGCATGACTAGAAACATGATTTGCTCGGATAAAGTTTATCTTGCATGACCAAATTAAAGCAAAACATTTAGCGAACTCAGTCTACGCTGCCATGCAATTTTGAGACTAAAGTGTCTAGTTATTTGTTTATCAAGTCAAATCTCGAAGGTTTTGAACATTTAACGATTTCCACAAGATCGAAACTGAGTCACGCAGTTCCCGGTCCACTATAGTACGATCGTACTTGTTTCGATCAATTAATGTAAAATTTTGGTTTAGAATTTTTTTTTCTCATATCATTATTTATATCAAAACATGTTCGAAATTTTTTTTTAATTTTGCAAATTTGGGCCCCCCCCCTTAAACCCGGGGCAAATTTCCCCCAGTGCCCCCCCCCTCTCTGAAAGGCCCTGTAACAGGGTGTCCCAAAAAAGTAAACCTTTCAAATTCAAATCAGCCTTAACCTATTGTAGTAATTCGCTGATGCGACACAAATGAAAACCTCGTTCCCAGGCTCTTCCCTCTTGTGGAGGAAAGAAGTACACCGTCTTTTCTAGACATGAAAATATTGAATATTGGAACTATTACTGGAACTCGACATATAATTGGCCAATCTTTGTTTGTGTCTTTGCTCATTTTGTTGGAAAAGCATGTTGGAATTCTCGACTTTATATTTCATCTACTTCGCTCCTTCAGCACATCTAATCCAGATGATCTTGATACGCGGAAAAGTATTGGCACTAGTTGTCAAATAGAAATCCATTTTATGATTAAAACAACTGAATATCTCCTGTAATATACTTTATTTCGATTCCATATTTTTGTTAGAGCTATAGTTCTCATAACTAAACATAATTACAAAATTTCAACTAGTTTCATAAAGAATAACGAAAAATATAATTGACTGAATACATCAAAATGGATTTCTATTCGGACAACCCTTTCTGAGCGCTGGTTGGATAAAATACGAACACGAGATCACCTGGATACAATGTGAAATTTATTTCAAACTTAAAATTTCAATACTTCACACTTTCGCATTCAATACTGCACACTTTTTATTCAATACTGCACAAAGTGTGCAATACTGCACACTAAAATAAGCCCTGAGTCCTCGAGCTCTTAAATTATCGAAGTTTAATACACTAAACAAGTATAAACAGCAGATTTAAATAAAAATGCCTTCATGTATATCACCAAACAGGCAGACACGAGTTATGCCACTAGTATAAAATACGAGAAAGAAATAAAGCCATCCTTACCTGAATTATTCAAAATATTGTCGATCATTCATGCCAGAAATTCTCATACTCATTCATCTTCAAAAATATTACTCGGAACTTTTATGGCAATTTGCATTATTTTATGATTTATATACTTCTGTCCGTTTATAATAGTCGCCATGTTGTTGAACAACTCCCGGGAAGAAAAAATAATATCAAAACAGCTATATTTGGCCCGTCCGTGGATGACAAAATGACATAAATCGATATTGTAGCTCTATAAACTCGGCGGTCACGTTGTAAGTATACCACGTGTAGAGATTAATGTGCTGCCTCGCTATCGCTCGGCAGCAATAATAAAATGGCTTATGCCATATGTTTCTAGGTCCGACTATTATTTAGAGACTAAAGATACGAAAAATGATTTCCATTTATATTCTTGCATGCTTTTTCCTGATAGGAAATTTATTTTTTTGTGCTAAAGAATGTCACACAAGAATTTTTGTTTCATCTCACCTGTTGGGTACTGGGATTGCTCCACAATGGCGAGGTCATTCAAACGGGCAAGCGGTTTTGGTAAAGAAATGTTTCGATAAACAACACCCGTGGATACATTCATCTCCTGAACCACTCTTGTCTCCAAAGTTTGGAGGTAGAGGAAATCTCCGAATACGGTCATTGCACCAATGTTCCCTTCATCAAATGAAATATTTTTCAACAAAACACCATCATAATCAAAGAAACAAATATTTTTGCTCGTATTACTCTTTCGATAATGGTACAGTTCCTTGCTGACATAATCGAAATAAACACTCGATTGGCCATCTTTGATATCGCCGAAAATCAGATCCTCCCCGACAAAATTAGTTCGCGTCAGAGTTGAATCACCATTTTTAAAAAAGATATATCTAAGCAAAGAAGAATATAAAACAGTTGCGTGAAGTTGGTAAATTTCTTTAATTATAGAACTATGCAACCTGTGACATGTAAATGTGAAACTTTTAAAAAATTATAAATAAAATTTCATGTTGTTTTGGTTATGCATTGACATGAACCAGTGTATTCCATGAGAAATGCCGACAAATGTTTCAGATCACAAAACCCCAAAAGCCCTGTCGACAAAAATTCCCCGACAAAAATATCCCGTCTGGTTGTTATTATATTATACAGAAATTAATTCCATAGAAATTTGAAGACATAATTAATTTTAGTGTTGAATGTTTTTTAATTAATTAAAAATTATGTGATAATCAGACAAGAACAAAAATTCACGTTCTTAGCATAGTCTAATAATAAATATCAAACTCGTTAATAATTCATGAGTAAATTAGCCAATCGTTTTGCTTTATTTTTCTCACATGATAACATTGGATACCTGCATTGTGAATTATATTGATCCAATCCAAGGACTTTCACCTCACTTTGAGTAGTGATTTATTCGTGTGAGATGTCATTTCAAACCCTCCACTTCGAACTGGGTTGGATTTCAAGTGTTCGCATTTTCGTCAAATTGCGCGGACTTGAAATCCAGTCCAGTCATTATAGTCGGACTTGAAATTACATCACTCAGGACTCACCACTGAGCAGTAGAATATCTGGAGGACCTGCTCCTATACTTCGATCAGTCAACAAAGTGAAGCCAAAAATATGGCGGAGTTTGACGTTTGCTGACGCCATTTCCATGCATGACAACTGGTTTGTAATTCCCATGCAATTACCAGTGGCTAACCGCAATCTTGAGCGTCCGACGACGTCTTATCACCCTAATTTTGGCAGTTTTTTTAATTAAAAACATAATATTTTCTCGTATTTAGCTGTTTTTTACAACTTGGAAGGAAAAGTGCCGTTTTGCTCTGCTTGCTGATGCAACAATTTACTTTAAAGGATGAGTAATTCTTTTCACAAGTAAGATTGATGGGAACACTTGTATAACGAATACGAAATTATAAAAATATTATTGTAAAACTCATCACTCATGCCAATATTAAATGCAAATACTTCAATATCGGACATAAAAGTCATAAGAACCTTGTAAAATTTGAGAAATTGTGGTAGTAAAACTGATTGTTTTGTTTTAGCCGCGGCGATGTGTCTTGTATTTTAATTTATCATTTGTGCGCGAATATGTTTACACAGATAATGCTGTGAAAATTATTTATACACTTGATAATATAGACCAGGATTAGCACAAGCCAAGCCATGCAGAGAGGGGAGCAAAGGGGGATAAAATAGCCAGGGCCACTATACTGGATTCACTTATTATATGACATCAACATATACAGTACTGTAGTCATGTCCTTCTATTACGGGAACCACTCAGTATTTTAAGAAACTAGTCGAAACGTTGATTAAAAATCAAAATGTTATTCGGAGTTACTGTTATTTTGTATGTCCTTTTAGCTAACTTTTAATGATTGTTGGCCCGCACACAGTAGATTGACTGATCCGATTTTGCCATAATGAATGTTGACCCGCATAAAGTAGATTGACTGATCCGATTTTGCCATATAATCAAATGTTAAGAGAATCCTGAATCTGTTAAATTGAATGCTGTGAGCAGTGGCATAACCAGTAATTAAAACAAAAGTGGGGGGAACAATTTATGGCATCATCGAGAAATTGTTGGGTGGGACGGTGCGGGCTGACAATGCGTAAGGCATGAGCCTGTTAGCGGGTCTCAGGGGGAACGCTCACCCCTGAAATTTTGAAATCTGAGGCCTCTCAGAGCCCTGAAGTGCAAGAATCATTTACAAAAAATAATGATGTGTTTTAATTGTCTTGTTGATCAAATGTCTACAGTTGTTAATTTGCAGTATACGTTATTATATTTTGTCCACAGCCAGGTGTTCCACTGCACCCTGTGGCACCGTTATGCCTACGTATGAGCCAATCCAGTATCAAGAAAAACTGTCCCTGTCCCTGAATGGATCTCAGACAAGCAACTAGTAGCCCTCCACAAACTTTAAGTCTAAGAGCCATTATATGACTGTTAAATTAATATAGGGTAAAAACTTGTCCTACTTCTGTTAGATAAGCTTACAACACACACCCTACACTACAGTATATGGGTACTAAAAATTGTTGATATTTTCCGAAAACGAAAGTTGACACATGCGTATGAAGTGCATTATTCCTGAAAACATCCACATCATCCCTACAAAGGAAATGCGAGGATGCAAGCCCCGGGTAAATTCTATCCCCTCCAGACAGCAGAAATTTCCTCCATGTATATATTATTTGGAGAGTGGATTTTTTTGGAATGAGAATGTAACACGTTCTACTATATATATATACGTTCCAATATTCTATTTAACAGAATTTGAGAGGAAAATGAAAGAAAACACTAAAAATGCAATGAATACAGCCATGACTGTGGAGAAATTATACATAAATGCAATAATTCTGCATGAAAACAAGAATTCCTTTTCAAACATGATAAAAATTGTTAAAAACATAAGAATAATTGCAAATGTGGACAATGACAGATTTCATGTTTTAATAGGAAAATCACATCAAATGCATGTTAAAAATGACTGACCTGAAATATATTCAGCAAAAACATACACATTTTGCAACAATTTTAGCTTTTCCGTGTTACAAGATATGACTAAAATGATACTAAATCTCTAAGAAGAAAAAACTTCTAAAACATTTGGGCAAAATTTATTGTTTTTAGCAAAGTGAGTAAAACCCTTGTAGAATCCGATATATTTATAACCTATTTTATACCTATTTTTTCTCTATTTAGCCCTATTTTTTCCGTATTTTTTCAAAAATATGACTATTTATTACTATTTATCAAATTTCATAAAATAGTATATGACTATTTACACTCTATTTAAAATATAAGTTATTTATATTTTTCCAAAAAATAGCTTTTAAATAGGTATTCAAATCCCATTTCGGATGGAGTATTTGACAGAATCTCACTATAAAACTATAGCTTTTAAATAGCTATTTAATTTCTATTGATGACAAACGAGTCAGTTAAAATAGTTTTAAATGGCTATTTTTAAACTATTTTTGCTTATCTTTTTTGGAGCCATTCTTAACACATTTATTAAATAGCAAAATAAATAGATCTTAAATAGCTATTTAATTCCTATTCATAGAAAGTTGTGGCAAACTTTGGTTCAAAATAGCTATAAAATAGCTATTTTTAAACTATGTTTGCTTTTATTTTTGGAGCTATTATTGAGTATTTTTAAAATAGTTATCAAATAGGAAAATAAATAGATCTTAAATAGCTATTTAATTCCTATTCATAGAAAGTTGTGGCAAACTTTGGTTCAAAATAGCTATAAAATAGCTATTTTTAAACTATGTTTGCTTTTATTTTTGGAGCTATTTTTTGAGTATTTTTAAAATAGTTATCAAATAGGAAAATAAATAGATCTTAAATAGCTATTTAATTCCTATTCATAGAATTAAAATAGCTAATAAATAGCAAAATAATTATATCTTAAAAAGCTATTTATTTCCTATTCATAGAAAGTTGTGAGAATTGAGAAAGGGCCGTAAATGTATTTATTTAATTGGTCAAAATTTCCCAGTTTGAGGTAATTTTAAATTTTTTATGAGTTCATTGAAATTATATTTACAAAAATATTTATAGTGTTTGTGGAGGTAGATATTTTGTCTCTTGACAAAACACCGTTTTTGACAAAATTCACAAAACACAAATACCACCAAAAATTCTGACGACGAGCGCGGTTTGACAGACTCACAGACTGGTGCCTAATTTTCCAACAACACGCGCAAAGCTTTCTGGGATAGCGTCACAATTCAAACCACCATATTTAAAATTTTTTTAGTTTAAACTTTCCGCTCGAAATACTCAAATACAGAACATTTATTGAGCGGAAATAATATTTATTTTAAAGATTAAACATCAGGAATGACTGGGTAACATCCAGGTAAGAATTTTGTTATGTTTTATTTATAAATAGAGCAATTTTGAAAGGAAATATTTACTATCTTCATTCGTGAATTTTGAGCACATGTTCCAGCTTAAAATTTCAATTTGCTGCGACAATATTTGAATTAAAACAACATTAGTTTTATAGAATGCTTACATTTGACTCAGCCTTTATATTAAATGTTGTTTATTGTAATGCCCAATAGTATACTTTGACCTTTGTGTATAGTGTATATGACAGATTGCCAGATTCCAGTGTTTCTTGTATAAAAATATATAATATAGCTTGGCATCTACTCAATTCTCATATGCCTACTCAGGCATGTCCCAGCTAAACATGGTTTGAGAAAATGTATCGACTGGTTTCAAATTAACTGGTACTTTCATAAGTTTCCAATATTTATTCATATATAGGTGGGTCAGTTTAGAATAGATAAAAATTGATGTGATTTGATGTGATGTCATGTGTGGCAACATGATTATAGACGTGTCCCTAACTGGAAACAGTTAAAGTGTTTAGTTTGCTTGTTCAAACTTATGAATACATTTAGTTACACCACATGTCTTCATGATCTGCATAATAATATATGTAACAACCTTTGAGCTTCATTTTATATATACACCCCGGCAAGGGTTTGATTGTTTTTGGAATTACCCATTTCACTCAATGAGCCCAATATTCAGCACTTTGTTATTAAATGTTATCTTGCTTAATGCCGGACAATTTTATTCATCAAGGGAAGTATCTAGCTAGCGTACTAGACTCTGCCCATGTTTCATGTTGACATATAACACTTCCTACTTAAGTACTTTGATATTATTATTTAACTCTGACATTTCATGGTAGACAATTTTACTTACCGACTGTGGCATGCTGGCCCATACCTCACCTAAATATTAACACCTACAAAGGAGCAATTTCCTCTTATGTTACCTACTTGAAGTTCTTTGTAGGGGTGTGCAAGATAGAATGTTTTTGCTATCCAGCTG